TTGATGAGCACAGTACGTACCATAAGAACTAGATCATGCATCACGTGCCTCTCTTTAATAATAATAATAATAATAGATAGCATTTGTATAGCGCATATCCCCGCTCAACAGCAGGCTCTATTCGCTTTACACTATATTATTACCCCAGCAGACCATAGTACACTCCGAAACATTCTCAGCTTCCCGGGAAGCATACAGTGCTCTCCCGCTTAGCTCTTTAGCTTCAGTTCCTACTTACTTAAGTACTCATTCGTCAACTGTCTCTGTGACTGTTGGTCATTTGGTTACCCATTCTCCGCCACAACCGAACACCATCTTCCTTGCTCTCTGTTTTAATGCATTATTTCATAATAAAGTTGTAGACCAATGTAAGATTTGTTTCGTTTTCAATGCACGATATAGAGAGCCTTCTCCTGTTTTTCTTTGCCCCTACTTTGCCCTGTAGCCCAGTATAGTTGTCATCAATTCCGATAGAATATTTCTGTTTTCGTGACGTGATATTTGAGTCTCCTTCTGCTGATCTCAGAAAGCTTACTGCCCCGTGTATCAAGTTTTTCTTTCAGGACACTCTCACCCCTTCTTGTATCTGCCCTCTTGATCAGAAGAAGTCTTCTGTAAAACTGCAATTCTGCTCTTTGGATTTTGTTTATTTTTTCTTCTTTTTTAAAATATATCCATGGCTCACTCCCATATCATTATGTACAGAACTAGTGGCCGCACCAGACTGTTCGGAATGCTGACATATCGAATCCTTTCATTTCTAAATTAGCTTAATAATTAAGAAAACATTGTCTTTCTTCTCTTAATCTATAGATAAATACAAATCTGTGTCACCGATCTAGATCTAACTACTGTCTTTTTATCAGAACCTTAATAATCATACATGACAAACAGTCAGCTGTCCGCTGTGTGCTCAGTCAGTTATCTCTGTAGGTCGCGGGTTGTAATAATTATCTCCCCTTACCGTTGTCACTGATTGGAGACATGGAGTCATTCCATGGAGACTGACGCACGTGACACGTGGATGCTGAAAACAATCTACTAAGCGATGATAGATGAGCCTTCTTCTTTTCATTTTTGTTAAAACTAGGTAGATCTGGTATCTAATAAATCAAAACAAGAAAAGCAAAACAAAAACAAACAAAACAACAAAGCAGAAAAGAAAAAGAGAGCAAAGTAGTATTTCTCATCAAACATCTATCGTCTTTATCTCCCCTCCTTCTTTTTGTGTTTGTTACTCTCTTGTAACACCTTTAATCTTCGGCACTTGTATGACCTCATTGTGTTGCAAGTGCCGTAAAACTCTTCACAAAAAATAAAAACCATAGTGAAGTAAAGAATAGCTTTATTACGATGAACTATTTTTTTTTCTTAATTCAGTACAGTAGGTCATGATCTCCCCATTGCGTGTGTGTATCTCCATGGAATGACCCAAGTGGACGACGCAGAATTAGGTGGCCGAGCGTAGTATAATAATTATGTATGTAGTCAAACAAAACGAGCGGGTCGTCATCGTGGTTGGCAGTTGGTGGAGGCACGGAGGTCGGAGTAACTCGCTCCGGTGTGGGATGGAGCAGAGAGAGAGAGAGAGAGAGAGAGAGAGAGGGGGAGACAGAGACAGGGAGAGTGAGCGTGTGAGGAGAGGTCCGCCGACACTCTGTCTCTACTCTTTGTGTTTGTTCTTGTGAGTGTGTGGCCTAGTCTTTGTTGAACAGCTTCACCTGGATTGATTAGCAGCATGGGAAGCTTAAAGGTAAGCGGACTTACTGACTGAATTAGCTACACGCAGTTGTTTGGGATCTTTAATTTTTTTCTTTCTTTCTTCCCCATTTCTTTCTTTCTTTCTTTCCTTTGTTTTTTAAAAATTGTTTTTGTTTCTTGTTTCTTGAAAATAACAAACAACCCACTGTTCTCGAAATGTTGTAACAAATAAAAACCAAAACAGCGAGCAAACAACAAGAATACCACCACCATCACCAACCACAGCAGCAACAACAACAACAACAAAATCAATGATAATATATAACAACAACGACGACAACAGTAGATGCAATAACAAACAACAACAAAAACGTTAACGATAATGGTAGGAGTAACAACAAAATCCACAACAGCAACAACAACAACAGTGCCACAACTACCACCACCAATAATTAAACTTGTTATCGCAAAGACATCATTCTCTTATAAATAGTACTCAAATGGAGAGGAAATAGCCGAGAAAAAACCCCATAAAAACATTAATGACAACATTAGTTACACAACAGTATTATTATTATATACATTTACCGATGACTAAACATTCGAATAATAAACATTAATTAATAAATCAAATAATTAATTGATTAATCATTGGATTAATGATCAACTTTTGTTACAGCAGTATTCGTATATATTTAACGATAACTAAAAATTCGAAATATAAACATTAATTAATTATCAGTTCATTAATTGAATAATTTGACTTGATTAAATGATTCTATTTAAAAATACCCATGAAAATTAGAGAATGGTAAACGCTTTGAAACAAGTATGAGTCATGTAGAATTTCAAACTAACCACACTTGAGCTTTGGCTGTGCGTTTAGAACAATGATAACACTTGCCCAACTGTGTGATTTGCTACACTCAATATCCATACGAGTGTCGTTGCCTTTGATCATGATCGGTGCAAAGATTGGCAATGTTTTACGCCGCGATCGTCGCAATAAGGTCATATTTTAGAAGGTGGACTGCTTCAGCCCTGCAGACAGGCGGAAGTACTCGATAGAATAAGTTGACCTCGCAGCACTGGAACTGGCGTCTTTTGCGTGCAACAGCGTAGTGCCTACCTTTACTTTATGTATGGGACAATAATAACAACGACAACGATAATGATGACGATGTTACTACCAATAATATTAATAACAATAATAATAATGGTAATTATACTACTACTACTACTACTACTACTACTACTACTACTACTACTACTACTACTACTACTACTACTACTACTACTACG